CCGCTCCCTGCAACCAGTGGGGCGGGTGCCACGTGCGAGGCTGCACGTGGGTGCAGGGGCTCCCAGGGCCCGGGACTTTTGGCACACTGGGGACATCGCACGCTTAAGCAGGAGGTAAAAGAAGCCAGGAAAAGGATAGACTCCCTGAGTTTTATTATCTTCAGAAGACACCATTGGCGTGTCTTCTCGGCTCCCGACCTCCCCCCGCCAGGCTCTCCTTGGAGATCCTTGTCTCGGCGCCTGGAGATGCACGGACCAGGAGACGACACCCCTCCCTGGGTCCCCCAGGCAGACAGCTGGGGTGGGACGTGCCCCAGCAGCGGCTCTGGCGTGGAGCACACCTTCCGGGAGGAAGGGCCGGCAGCAGAGTGCTGGCCTGCTCGAAGGAGCAGAGACGTGGGGCACACACCTGCTGGCTAAGGGGCTTATTTCTCCCGCTCTGGAGCCCAGGAAAGGGCCGCCTCTGGTTTGCTGGAGGGTTCCTTGTTCTGTCCATCACCCTGTCTCCCCTCTCCCATCCATTCCGCTGGGATCACCCTCTTGGCCAGCTCCACGTAGACGCCGTTCTCCCGGCAGGGAGATGGGTGCTGCAAGGAGCAAGGGACAGGGCATGAGTCTCGCCGCAGGTTATCGAGGCCCGTTGGAGTGGGCAGGAGGCAAGGGATGCTGCTGTCTGGTGTGGGGAGTGAGGGGTCGTGCCCTGGCTGCTGTCATCCTGGGGAGGGGGCGGTGATACAGGGGTCACACCGGCCCTACAGCTGCAGGAAGGCCCTGCCCATGCCTGCCACAGCTCGGGGGGTGGCTGCTTGCCTCCTCACCATGGTTACGTAGATCTCCTCGGCTCTCCTCTTCTTCCCTGCATCCTGCTCAGCCTTGGGTACCTCGGGTCCAGGGACTGCGTAAAGCGCTTCCTGTGAGGGGGAGATCAGGACACTTGGAACCCAACAGTCCCCACACCCCAGTCATGGGACTAGCAGCACACTGTGCTTGGCCAGGGTGGGATCCCCTCCCTCAGTCCCCACCAGACCCCATGGCAGTGATCCCTCCGTGTCCCGAGGACAGGGAGCTTCAGGCAGCAACCACCCTGTGCAAGGATGGCCCCGGCTGCAGCCTTGAGGGGAGGCTGTGGCCCAGGACCCCATCTCCCCACGCCGAGCCGCTCAGCTCCCAGGCATTCTGCTGCCACAGGAGCATTTGCTCCATCAGCACCTCCTCTTAACTCCATCCAAACGAGACGGCAGGACCTGGGGCTCATTCCAGCCACCACCCACGCACCATCGGCGGG